CCTTGTATGATCTTCTTGATGATTTGCTGTATTCTATTTGCTAGGATTTTATTGAGGATTTTGGCATCTATGTTCATGAGGGAGATTGGCCTGTAGTTCTCTTTCTTAGTTGTGTCTTTCCCTGGTTTTGGTATCAGTATAATACTTGCCTCCAGGAATTATTTTGGGAGGATTGCTTACTTTTCAATTTCATTGAGGAGTATGAAGAGTACAGGGACTATAACTTCCATGAATTGCCTGTAGGGAATATAACTTCCATGAATTGCTTGTAGAATTCAGCTATGAATCCATCAGGACATGGACTTTTCTTTGTCGGTAGATATTTTTATTACATTTCATATTTAATTGGCTGTTATTGGGTTATTGAGAGTTGTTTTATCTTCTTGATTAAGTTTTGGTAATTTGTACCTTTCTAGGAATCTGTCCATTTCTTCTGTGTCTTCTGTGAGAGTAAGATTCTCAAAGTAGCTACTGATAATCTTCTGAATTTCCACTGGGTCTGTGGTAATTACATCCTTTTCATTCCTTATTGCTTGTATTTGAATTTTTTCTTTCCTCTTTTTGATGAGGTTAGCTAGGGGCTTATCAATTTTATTTAGTCTTTCAAAGAACCAGCTTTTTGATATGGCAATTCTTTGACTGTTTTCTTCGTCTCAATTGAATTGATTTCTCCTCTAATCTTTATGATTTCTTCCCGTCTTTAGGCTCTGGGTTTTGTTTGCTCTTCCTTTTCTAGATGTTGGAGGTGCAAAATTAGGGTGTTTATTTGTTCTGTTTTCCTAATGTGTGAGTTCACAGCTATAAATTTCCCTGTAAGAATTGCTTTCATCGCATCCCATAAGTTCCGATATATTGTGCTTGAATTTTCATTGAATTGTGGATATTACTGAATTTCTTGTTTAATTTCATCTGTGACCCATTGGTTGCTGAGTAGAGTGTTGTTTAATTTTCATGTATTTATGGGATTTTTCCAGTTTCTTTTGTCGTTTAATTCCAGCTTCATTGCACTGTGGTCATATAATATACATGGGATAATTTGTTTTCTTGCATATACTTAAGCATGACCTATGGACTAGTATGTGGTCTAATTTAGAAAATGACCCATGTTAACCTGAAAAAAAATGTGTATTCAGCTGTGCTTGGATGGAACACTCAGTATATGTCCACTAAGTCCATTTGTTCCAAGCTCTGGTTCAGTTCTGCAACTTCTTTGCTAATTTTTTTGTGCTTGATCTGTCTCTTTGGGATAAGAGGGTGTTAAGGTCTCCTGTTAAGACTGTGGTTTTGGATATTAGAGTTTTCATGTCCATTAAGATTTGTCTTATATAGTTGGGTGCTCCCATGTTTGGTGCATACATATTTATGAGCGTTCCCTCTTCCTCTTGAATTTTTCCCTGAACCAGAATATAGTCGCCTTCTTTACTTCGTTCAATCATCCTTGGTTTGAAGTTGAAGCTAACTAAGAACAGGATTGCTACCCCTGCTTTTTTCTGAGGTGTTAGGGTGTATAGTATTGTTTTCCATCCTTTGACTTTCAGCCTATGAATTTCTTTGTGAGTTAAGTGTGTTTCTTGTAAACAGCATATTGTTGGATTTTGTTTCCTAATCCACTGTTCCAGTCTGTTTCTTTTAATTGGTGAATTGAGTCCATTTACATTAATGGTTATAATGGAGACGTATTGACTTACTTTCGGCATGGTATTTACCTGCTGTTGTTTACTCCTTTTTCCTTTTTCTCCTGTGTTTGTTTGCCTTCTGATCTCACTCATGGAGTTCTGATCATTTTGGTCCCTCTCTAGAACATCTTTCAGTAGTCTGTGTAGGGTTGGCTTTGTTATCACGAAATCTTTAGTTGTTCTTTGTCATGGAAGTATTTCACTTCTCCATCAAACTTGAAAGAGAGTTTTGCAGGGTATAGTAGTCTGGGCTGGAATTTGTTTTCATAGAGGACTTGAAGTACTCTGCTCCATGCTCTTCTTGCCTTCATGTTTTGTGAAGAGAAGTTTTTCATTATTCTGATGGGTTTTCATTTAAATGTGATCTGTTTTTCTCTATTGGCTTTCAGTATATTGTTCTTATGCTGGATTTCTGGGATCTTGACTATTATATGTCTTGATGTATTTTTAACTGGGTGGAAGTTATTTGGCATTCTGGAAGGCAGCTATGCTTACCACTATACCACCAACACAGATTTATTTTGCATTCTGTATGCTTCAGTTATCTGAATGTTAGATTGTTTCCTCATGTTTGGGAATTTGTCTGAAATGACTTCTGCCCATATTCTTTTTATATCATTTGTATCGAGTCTTTCTTTCTCATTGATGCCTATTAGTCTCATGTTGTTCATCTTTGTATCATCTTGCAGGTGATGAATTATTTTTTCCTGCATCCTAGTTGTTTTTAAGAGGGCTTTTCTTACTTTTCACTAGCTGCGATGGTGTCTGCAAGATCTGAAACTCTGTCTTCACTTTCACTCAAATGGTTTTGCAACCTTGTGACTGAGATTTTAATTTCCTCTATAGCTCATTGACTCTGCTTCATGCAATCTATTTCTTTCCTGTATTGCTCATTCAAGGAATCTGTCATTTTTCTAATCTCCTCTATTTTTTTCATCAGTGTTTTCTTGAGAAGCAGTTATTAATTCTTTTACCACAGAGAGTATTTCTGATCTGATTTCTTCTATATGTCTCTGCATTTCATTCTTTATTTCGGATGCTATTCGGAGCTTTTTTTTTATTTCAGAGGTTATTTCTGATCTGAATTCCTCTATATGTTTTTGCAGTTGTTTCTTTTCTTCAGATGCTATTGTTTCAGATATTTCAGCTGTGTGATTCCCACTTTCTTCTGTGTTAGTGTCCTCTGCACTTGTGCTAGGTGGGCTCTGGGCCTGAGATTGCATTTTGCTCCTTCTCTTTGTCATTTTGTGCAGGGGCAGAGGGTTCCTGAGAGAGTGTGGCAGGTCTCACCCATGGGGCTGGCCTGGGCTTGATCCAGGGAAATCCAACCAGCATGGGGTAAACTTTTGAAAGTGTTCATTTTTTCAACAAAGACCTGAAAACTCAGTAGATAAATCAAATAAAAACAGAGCTGCCTAATTCAAGAATGGGTGAGATACCCCGCACCCCATCCCCTGTGCTCCTCCCGTCACTGGGATGCTTTAGAATGGAGTGTTAGGACATCCATCTGGGATGCTTACATTTATACCTCAATCAAACCCTTTTAATAAAATTAATAATGTAAAAAAATATAGATGAGTGCTTCTATCCACAAGGTGGGCTTTCCTTGGCTCTGTTTGTATGATCTCTTTACTTCACATAAATGTGAGCTGTGAACTACCCTACGCACACGGTCTGCTTCCAACCCACACTATGGCTAGTCAGGTGAGAATGTGAGTTCAGACCTCTCCCTGAGGCAGAGGTTTGGCCTGCTGTAGAGGAGAAGCCCTGGGGATCTTATTTGACATTTCTTTGGTCCATTCATTTCAAGTAATTATATTTTAGCCCCTTTTCTCATGTTAACCTTCCATTACTCTGGAAGAGTTCTTGGTCCTACAGAAATCAGTAAAGCTAAAATTGTGATTGTCATTCAGGTGAAAGCCACTTGCAGAACTTCCATCTGGGGAAATATAAGCAGAGGTAAACACTGGGGTGGGGCAGGAAAGCAAGTCACCTCTCTTCGCTGCTGAGCAGTGGCCCCAGCCTCTGGCATCTGGACCTTTGCTTCTCTAAGATTCCTAGGTTGGACAGCAGACATGCCAAGGTTCTAATTTTTAAATCTTCAAACTGAAATGATTTTCACTATAAGTTCCCTGGAAAGGATTCTGCACCCCTTAGGGCCACTAGGGATAGGCTGGGAGTTCCTGCACTATGACCAGCAGATGCGCTTGGTGCAAGTGTGGAGTGGCCCTCACTTGTGAAGGCAGCTACAGCACAGAGCGTGGCCTCCTCAGTCGCCACACCTGGGTCCTGCGAGTGTGGGCTGGCAGCAGGACTCACCTGAGGGCCAAGCACTGTGGCCTGCGGTCCCGGAACAGCTGGTGCACAGCTCGCTCAGCACAAGAGAAGAGGTGGGGGGGCAGCGATGGGCTTGGCATCCCAGTGTGGCTCAGGTACAGCTGCGACACCTGGATGGTAAGAGGCAAAGGCTGTGGAAAGTCCCCTCCCCATCCCAGACCCTGACTCTGTGCCTTGTGGACAACAAAAGCAAAGCGCTGTTACTGTAGGTCTCCCTGGCATCCACTCAGCACCCGAGAGCTCAGCCCATGCAAGCACGGGGCAAAGCGGTGACTTCTAGTCCATCCTCATTCCTTGGTCCACGGGCTGTAGATTATTCTGCTGTTGGAAGGGCAGCTCAGAAAGACAAAGTCTAACAGAGATCCCCGAGGCAAGCAGACACCCTGGTCATTCACATCAAATGATTTCTCAGAGCCACATCTAGTATCACTAACATGAATCAGCGAGCCTTTTAAACTCAAGAGTCAGAGGCAGTTTGAGGCTGAATCACAAATTGACATGATTCCTGGCAAAACAGAAAGGCAACGAAGCTGGTTCCTCGAGAGCTGACTTCTGACTGCTGCAGAGACACGCCAGCAGTGCTCAGGGCTTTGCTCTTTCCAGGGACTACCCGCACATTGGAATTGAAACTAGGTAACAGGAAGCCTTTTGGGGGTCATGAAGAAATGCCAGGCAGTTTAATTTTTATTTTATAAGATAACTGGTCGACATCTTCAAGGGCCTCAAGGTCAGGGAATCTGAGAGACTGGACCGCTCCAGACGAGAGGCAAGCCCAGAACCTGCAAGAGCGTGCTGTCTCTATCCTGCAACCCGGGCATCACAGAGACTGTGCACGCCTTGCAGCAAATGACAGCAATGGAGAAAAGAGTAGCTTGTACTATTTAACTGCAAATTTTACATATACAATTATTTATTCAGGGGAGGCAGTTTTAAAAGTCAAAGAAATGATCAACAGCTATGAGACACAACAGAGGAGTCCCACAGTATGGGTGGGCAGCAGTGACCAGATCCTGAAGAGATATGCAGCCTGTTTCCACCAGGTTGGTGGCACCAGCAGGTACCAACAGACTCAGCTGCCACAGTCAGGCAGTGAGGCCTGGGCAGGTGTGGGTGTAGGCGAGGAGACAGCAACTTCGGAAGCACTGATGGTACTGCCAGAGTGAGCTCCCCTGAAACAGGCCACTGGCACTTTGGCACCATGAGCACTGTCCTGCCACACAGTGTCCCCAGACCACACCCCCAAGCCAAAGTCATAGCACAGGATGAGCTGATTGGAGGCTCAGAAACCAGATCCATGGCCCAGAGCACAGAGCTCAACTTTCACCTCCACCAGGGCGAGGACAGTGCGGGAGGGGCCGCATTACTCAGGAACACTAAATGACGGTGCTACAGGACTGGTCATCTGTCTGTGAAGGAAGAGACAGCTCTTCCTAGCTCACACTCCAGTGCAGATAACTTGTGCATGAACAGAGGCCTCAGATATGAACAGCAGGGCCTAGAACCACTGCTAATCATCTGCAACCACACTTAGGGGTTGAAAGAAGGAAACCATTCATAGCTACACGCTAAGGGGCGCAAGGGAGAGGCTCATTATACTAGATGCCACAGCTTGTGGTCAAGCACATGGCAGTAACGAAAGATAGGCAAAATCAGAAGGGGAAAAGCTGCGTGTGCAAGCGGAAACTGTCAGGGGCTTGCAGGGGCTCCTGAAAATCAGTAACAAAAGATGGAATACAATAGAAAACTGGGCCAAGAAAAGAAACTGAAAAAATCTCTACCATATTTCCTTCTTTTCTTGGTGCATAGTTAAGGAAACTTTTAAACAGGATATAAATGATATGTTCTCTGAGTAACTTAAAATGAGAAAATATGGTCAATGCAGCTGTTTAATGTATATACGTATACGTAGGAAAACAGAAGAGGGTTACAAGACGTGGCAAAGCCACCAGGACTGTGACTATCATGTATGTGGAGCCTCTGCTCCTCTATTTTGACAGTATGACACCTCATCTCTGAGATGCCCTATATTTTAAGCATGCCTTTATGTGGCTATAAACTAGAAAATAAATGTTTCAACTCAATAAGGGCATGCCTTCTCCCCACACCTTCAGATCTGCACTTGCCACTCTGGACTGGCGGCCTCTCTTGGCTAGTTCCTGAGTGCACGGACTCGAGCAGTTGGTGATATCTGCGTTGTCATTGGTCATGCAAATACTCGGGCTCCTCGTGGTTCCTCATCTACAGGCAAGGTCTGTGGTGTTTGCTGTTACCTGAGCTTTTAGACGACATCTGCAGTCTGAAGCATGAGGACTGTTCCGGTATAACTGAAATGTCCCACAAAGTTCTCACATACTCAGAGGTGAAGCTTTGGGGAGGTGACTGGTGGCAGAGGACAGTGCACTCGTCAGTGCAGTCATCTATCGGGACATTCAAAGCTCAGTGTGCTGCATGGAGGTGGGGCCTGGTTGGAAGGGGTGGGTCACGGGGTAGGGCGGGTGTGTTCTTGCCTCTGCCTCCACCCTTTGTTTCCTGGCTGCCAAGAGTTGAGCGGTTTTTCTCTGCAGACTCCTTCCACTGTGATGCTCCTGCTTTGAAGCCAGCCTACCACGAACTAACCCCCCCTACTCCACGCCCAAATGAGCCTTTCCTTCTTGAAGTTTCAGGTGCCAGGTATTTTGTCCCAGGTATGGCAAAAGAGTCAATACAAGGACACTGTGGCTTAGCATCCCTCAATATCACACACAGTTTGTCCTAGGCATGTATGCAGTGCATGTCTCTAATCTTCAAAAGCATGTCAGTTCCTAATTTAAGATTGTTTGGTAGCGTGAGAGCAGAAAGATCCAGACATTTCTGTCTTTTGTCTCTTACCTACACCTGACGTATTCAAAACAAACAAAGTTAGTTGTATTTGGACAGGCGCAGCCCTATCCCCTGTTGTCCTTCAGCTCCCCACCAAGACCCCTTCTCTGTGATTGCCAATAGCAGACCTTTGTCGCCATGGGAGCAAGCACCAGTGCACCGAGCTCCTTGCTGCAGAGAAGCTTCTCAATCTAGGGCTGGCCGGGAGTGTTGTGCACCGTCAGTGCTGACGGCTGGAAACCAGAAATGAGTGCCACACAGGCTGAGCACAGCACACCGAAGCTGCCAAGGTCAGCGGGAAACATGTTCAGGAGTTGTCTAGACAGGAGACAAGTGAAGTCATTCTCCTGGTCTTTATAAACAGGAGCATATTTTCTATATGTGACTGTTTCTAATACGCTATTTCCCTAGCTACACTCATCTTAGCATGTCTAAGCAGCAGAATAAGAAACTATAATATTTGAAAGAAAATATCTTTTAAAACAACACAAATACAATCATAGCCAAAATGCCCCAGAAGAAACGGGGTTTCCTTTGGTGTGTTGAGAGGGTAATGAGAGTGGAAAGTGAGTCTTACATGAGGAGCTGACAGTAAAATAATAATCTCCACACCAGGACAGAGGACACTCTGATTCAGCAAAAGATTAAGTTCTCGCCTCAACCTTATAGCCCCTTGTTTGTGGGCTGTTACGTGTCACAAGGAGATGACAATCCACTGCAATCTGAGAAATTTATTGGAATTACGAGCAACAGGCATTTTACATTCTGTTAGGACCTGTAAAGCTGGGTAGTTTTACTGTGAGCTTTATGCCTTATGCCGTGGACTCTGTACCTCACTGGTTTTTCTATTGTCTTATGTTCTATGCTAGGTAGTTGAAGATGACGAATACAGTGAGTGCTCTGTGCATGCACTAAGCACATTCATTAAATACGTGTGTTAACACTCATGTGTAAACTTATATATTTGGATTTTATCAATATAAATTTGAATAAAATATATTCATAGCTATAGACACTATACATTACATTTTAAGTTTTAATGCACTACTTGGTGATCACACCAGTGTCGTTCACCTTATATATGCATTAATAGAGAAATACACCTCATATGTACATCTCCTTTCCTCTCGAATTATATACTTCTGAAAAAACTGCAAACACAACGTACTATTATAATCTATAAAACTATCATGCTATTCACCCCTTCAAGACAAACAAACCACAAAAGAACAGGTTTCTGCCATTGTAAGTCACAGAATAGCAGTCATGGCAAACCCTGGCAGCTTGCTACGTCTCCTTGAGCTGACTCAGACTTCGACCTCTACACTCACAGAAGGATCTAAGTTGGAGTTAGCTTTCTGCATTCAGCTTCGGCAGCTCATTCACAGTTCCCTGGCTCCCCGTAAAATCCTCTGAACTCCACAGTCATCTGACAGCATCAACACCAGCCAGAAGCAATGCTTTCCTACTTTGTAAAGCACATGTTCATACTTAGGCTTCCTCTGTACACCCCTCCCCCCGCTCCCAGAAGGTACAGACAGAATTAAATAACGGACATGAAATCAACAGGTCACTGTGGGACATGAAGGCAAATGATCTTCTGATTTTCTGACACCAGTGCAATAAAATTGATATGGCCTTCTTTGCTAAAGAGCTATAAGGAGGAGGCTGGTATCAGATTCCTTCAGTTACCATGAGTTGCTACAAAAACTGTACTGAATTAAACACCCAATTGAAGGCCTCAGAAAATCACCAAAGCAGCTAGGGCTTAGGGAGCCAAGATCTTGGAGGAAACCAAAATGCGGGGAGCTGGCAGGCTTCGCCAGCGCAGGCTGTGCCCGCGGACATGCTGAGAGCAGGCTGCACAGGAAGCTAACGTTGCACATTGAGAAAGAAAGCTCAGCACAGAGTTTAGCAGCTTTACAATGCCGCGGAGACACAGTCATATCCTGCTTGGGGGCTCAGCAGCGGAGCAAAGCCACAAGGACAGCAAACCAGCTTCTCACCTGAGGCCTAGACGGGACTGCAGCTCAGGGAGCAGGACTGGGCCACCTTGGTGGGGTCAGGATGTCTGCCTACAGCTCACCTGCCCGCCAGGAGGAAAGCAAGTTGATTCTTCTTCGGAAAAATACAACATCATCTTGGCCTCTACAAAACTTTAACATGGAATGTTTAATAGTCAATAAAGAATGTCTGTTTAACAAAGTTGTAAGCATGTGAGCATACACACACAGCAGAAAAAGAGCCCAATTTATGTGTCCCAAACAGAAAGTAAAGTAACACTGATTGACAAGAAAATAGATGGAATGATAAAGAATTTCACCAGAGAACAGGAATTCTCAAGAGTATGGAATGGAAAATTCAGCACTGAAATAAACAAAAAAACACAACCAAACATTACTAACATCCACAATTAGTAAATGATTTCATCAGTGGATTCAAAAGCACAGAAGAGAGAATCCATAACTCGGCAATCCAATACGCCCAGCTTATAGGTCAACCATAAATGGTAGAGGACAGAAAAAGTAGCCTTAATATTTTTGTAAGATTCATACAAAAAGCAAATCACAAATAGAAACAAAAATGTCTTAAATTCAATGATAATGAACTGGCAAAATATCAACCATATAGTAGAGTATATGGTTGATATAGTATAGTTCAGTAACTCTGTGCTTTAAGCAAAATCAAAACCTCTACTACTTATTTTGGAAGAGGCAGTAAACACTGTGTATATCACTAATTAGAAGGAAAGAATAAAGGCAAAGCTGGAAGTCAGCTGTACAGAGAATAAATAGGCAATAAAAATTAAACCAAAAGATTTTTCCTTGGAAAGACTGTTACAATTAGTAAGTTTGGGGGATACTGACAAAGTCAAAAAACATACATGGAAAGCAAAGAAACCATTCGAAAGTCTGCAAATGTTGATGGGAAGGAAGATGATTAACACTTCTATGCCCAAACTATGAAGATTAAATGCAATTAATTCTTAGAAAACACAATTACTAAAAACTAACATGAGTAGAAATAAAAAATATAAATATAGTCCTACATGTGACAAAGACACTGAATCCAGAGCTACAAATCTTCTTAGGAAGAAAGCACCGGGTGCTACTGGTTCCACGGTGAATTCTTCTATGCATTTGAGAAGAAGTAATGCCGGGCATGCACAACCTTTCCCAGAGGCTAGAGAATGGAAAGCTTTCAGGCTCCTCTTATGCAGCAAGCTTAATTTTAATATGGCAGAGTGATAAAACAGTAGAGGAAAAATTTGAAGCTAAGTCTGTCATGAATATAGATGTAAGAACTTCAAATTGTTCTCTAGTAGAATCCAGTATTATAAAGAAAAGGACAAAATATAGAAATTGAGAAGGAGATCTGAAATTTCAAAATCAGGAAATATAGTCCACAAACAGAATATTAACTGAGAAAAATGAGCATTTTAAATGCACAAGATAAAAATTGACAAAATTCAAAATCCTTCATTATATAGAAAATTATTACTCTTAGAAAATGAAATTTCCTTAATATGACAGACTCATAACCATCTTCATATTTAATATGGACTTATTAAAGTTCACCCTGAAATCAGGAAATTAGCCTCTTTTGTACTAATTGCAGTTTGTGTTCAGTGAAATACTTTTGTTATCTTATGCAGAAGTAAAAGGAAAGGCTAGCAGATGGTTGTAAAGAAGGAAAAAAAATAGTTATTGTTTTTGGAAGCAACATAATTGTATACATAGGAAAATCTTAAAATGCTTTCATAGATAAGTAAATTTCATAAACTTACTGGGCTTGAGCTGTTATTTTCAAGTGTTCTTATACAATAAACATTCACATACCTATCTATTGAAAAGAGCAGTTAATGCTTAATTTTTTAAAAATTTTCTTTCTTCTTTTTAATTTCTTATAACCATTTTTTGCCAATTTTTCAGGCTTACATCTGGTAACCTAAACAACTAATCTGAAGATAACACCATGCAATGCAGCCATTGTGTAATCCCTGTTACTTTGTTCAAGGAAATTTTGTGCCATTTCTGTTTTTTTTTTTTTTTTAACCCTTTTGATCCTAAGATGAAAGCCTATAGCTCTTCCATGTTTTCATCTGGCAGCAAAAGAAGAGTAAGCTTGATTTTCAGACATTCTTACATGTTTATTAGGAATAAAGATAGAGCTTCTTTGACATCAGAAAAAATGCTTTTAG